GACCACCAGCAGCTTCTTCCAGAAGCCCAACAATGCAAATGCATAGCCTTATTAAGAATTAATAACATGACAACAGAGCACAGCACATGGTATTTAAATTGTGAGAACTGCTGGATGCAAGCACAGCTCCTAAATTATTCAGTGTCTTTGCTCTTGCCCATCTCCTCCCAGTTGTGGGAGCTCAGAGAAGGGCCTTCTGTGAGAGAGGAAGAGATGTGGGGCAGACACACGGCCAGCAGGCAGCAACCAGCAGCTTCTGTCCACACGCAGGCTTCAAGCTGTGCCACGACTCCCTGAGCAGAGGACCTCTGTGGTGGCACTGCCCCCGCCAGGCACAGGGATTCACTTCTTACCTGATTGTGGGCCACAGCGGGACAACTGGCACACACCATGGGGTTCCTACAATAAAGACTGATTATGGGGCTGAAACGGGGCAAATTCAGCCAGCATAGAAACACTGAAATACTGAGAATGAGCAAATAAACACGAGTCTTTGAAATAAGTTCTTCAGCTGTTCTCAGCCTCGGCACTGGCACCCACAAGATCCCATCACTTCTGCCTTACCTCACTCTCCCTCCACATGCCACCCACCTTAATTACTCCTTCTGTCTACACGCCTTCCTCTTCTTTTCATAAACACTGTGCAAGAGCTGAAATTCCTACTCCCAGCCTGATGCTACTACTAGTTGTTGTGACAAATGATAGTACCAGCTGGTCAAAGCCGCAAGCAGAGCCAAGAGCAAAGCCTACTCTCTGCAGAGCTGTGCTAGGTGGGCTGTCATCTTACACTCACCCACACGTAAACACGAGCAAAGCGAGATCCAAGCCCAGAAGAGACAGAACGGCCTCCAACACCCCTCATGGCCAGCGAAGGACAGAAGAAGCTGAGGGGGTCTCCCAGAGTCACCCCGCCAGAGGAAAGGGAAGCACCATGTCTGCTGGGTCCATCTTATGAGACAGAAGGGAGAAACAAGATGGTCTGTGAGAAGAACACGAATGCCCCAAGCACGGTTTAACCACTACCAAGAGGAAACTGATACAGACACTGCAGCAGAGTTGCTGTGTCCTTGCGTGAAGTAATTCTGATGAAACGCAAGGTCTTCATCACCAAAAGCACTCCCACTACCTGATGAGACAACGAGGCAAAAGAGGCAAAACTTTCCATCCCACCCCCACAGGAACCTCTCTGGAGCAAGTCGAACCAACCCTGGCAAGCAGATGTCAAAGTTACACGTAAGGTGAAGGACAACCATTTGATACCGGCAGTGGGAAATTCAGTTAGCATGAAAACAGAAGTAAATGCAACAAAGACAGTGACAAAAATGATAAAGGGCTTGCAATGCTGTGCAACACTGCTGCTGAACTCACAGATATGACAAAGAAAAGGCATAGTTTATGAAAAAAGGCTGTTCTGCTCATCAGACAACACTCAGTTCTGAAGAGCATCAGATGCATTCCCAACAATCTGAATATCTCTGCCCCATGTGTTAAAAAAAAAAAAAAAACAAGATTGAAATCCCAAATACAATTTAGAGAAAGTATTCAGAAATTAGGTCATAAACAACACAGAAAACAGAAATCACAACAACCATCACAGGACTGACCCAAGGCAAGGTGATGACTGGTTCTTTTTTGAGGACTGCCCCAGCTGTGAACACTGAAGGCTGTGAAAGAAAAGAAAACCATAAACCTTTGTTCCTTGCTGCCACACTGATGCATCTTTTCCTTACATTGGCCTAGAAAAGCACCAGTCTCTCACTTGAATGCAGTCCCTAAGAACACAGCAAGAGAACTGCCTCAGAACAGGAACTCTGGGTGCATGCAAGCGGCTCTTCTTACTCTTACATCACTGCAACGGTGCTGCTAGCAGATGAGAAAAGGAAACGTAGCAGCAATTAACACAATACCTCACAACTCTGTGGGTTCTGGCCTCAAAAGGCACAGCCCCCAGTTTGGGAGCCCTAGCTGTGAGGAAACACCAGAGCTCACAGCAGCACGAGCCCTCCTACTTGCAGGGGACGTAGTTTTAGTCAACTAGTCCAGCTCCAAGAAACAAACCCGGAGCACATTTCTTGATTATCAAGAGTAATTTTCACATGCTCACAACAGATTTAAAGGCCCCAAGTGACAGAGAACCTCCTATCTCCCAAATTATTTTCTCTCTCAGCCAACAGAGCAAAGAATAGCAGAATTACAGAGGCTCAGTTACAGAGAGCACACAGAAGGTCACCACCACACACCTCTTCATAGCTCTTAAGGCACTGAAGGAAAAGCTGCAAACCCTTCTGTGATCAAACAAACACCACAATTATTCCACACATTACCAGATTATTCCACTAAGAACATTCTCTTCCGACTGAAGCCTTGTGCTGCTTATTTTTATTTCACTTCTTGTTAGGTCACCAACAATGCTTTTCCTTCATGAGAACTTACACTTTGAGAAAGATGGAGACTGCTTAACTGTGGAAGTTAATCTTACACATTAAGATTTGATTCTAGCTTTCAAATGCTTTCTTACATATTAAGAGTTCCTCCTGTTTCTATAACCTTTCCTCACCTCTGCAAACCCCCACTCATTCTGCATTTTCTGCCTTTGTGTTGAGTAACGATGTCAAAGGCTTTCCAGCAAACAGGCTGCTCAGAAATGCAATGCATCCTAAATGTAACGTATCCTAAATGTCACACCAGTAAGGCAGAGGACACGGCTAGGAATTACTCCAGGCTGTAACATATGTATAGTGGAAAGTAAGTGAAACATTCAGCTCCATACCTACAGAGAAGTATCACTTTCCATCCTGTGGGCAGGTGGCACTACCCCCCTCGTAAAAGCACTACAGCAAGCCATGGTAACGTATCTACAGGTAACGTCATCCGTAATGCCAAGTGACACAAATTTACACCCTTTTTATTTCATAAATATTTGTTTTTTCAACTGACTCATTGCACAGGATATTAAATAGACCACACAGCACCTCTGCAGAAGTATCGCCTAACACATCCCACCTATACCTATTTGATGAGGCAAGATGAGAGGGAAAGAGCTACAAACGAGGAGCCTGCATGTCCCCAACCCCAAGTGAGATCAAATCAAAACCAATATTAATTCAATTTAGAATGGCAATATAAACAGTGTTCTAAGCAAAACTTGGCATGCACAAATACATTCTGCCATCAATCCCAACATCCAATAAAGCAAAAAGCTACTTTGGCAAGGCTTACTATTTAATGTCTCTGGAACCTTTATTTCCTCAGCATTTCTCCAGCATCCTTCTGAGGAAACTTAGGCTGGACTTCATCACAGACACAGCCTGCTTCCTTGCAAAGGAACTGCAGAACGGGATCAAGGCTGCAGAAGAGGTTGGCCTCACAGAATATTTACTCCTGTTTTTCTATAAAAACTTGAAAGCAGAAGAGCTTGCTACAGAGCCTTCTGTTCACTGCCATTCAAAAACTTCATCACATAACTCACCACCAGAAGGGGCCATGTTGCGTGTGTTATGAAGGTGAGGTTCTGTCAGTGGGGACACAATTTTCCTTCTCTTTTTAAAAGTAATGGTGTGAAAGCCAACACAAACTTGCAACTCGGGACGTTAACTTGCTAAAAGCACAGAAGCTCTGACTTTCTGCAATAGTGGAGAAGTACCTACAACAATTTTTAGTGAAGACAAAACTATATTGTTTAAAAAAAAAAAAGCATGTTCGAGACTTGTTGATGATTTTGCATTTTGTTACACACACAATAAGATGTGTGAGGAGCATGTAATTAATTGTAAAGTGATTAAACTGGATTCGAGAGCTACACATTTTCCAACTATAAAGCAGCATAAAGCAAAAGGACAATTTATAGCAGTAATGATCGATCTGTTCAGAATTACATAACAAGCCATCAGATGATGGCAAGATGGGATCTTGCGAGAGCTGCATTTTTGCTGTGCTGGTTGCCTTGGATGCCCTCCCTGATGTGTCAGGGTTGCAGATTTTCATTAGTGCTGAAAACCGCCAGCACCTCTTGTGCCTGCCCAAAATAGTTCCCAAGGCTCAACCAGCACGAAGGCCGAAAATGGAGACGCTTCCCAAACGACCTGCATTTGAATGACATCGCTTTGGCTATGTGACCCTCAGCACACCGAAACACGCTTTCCCTCCCCTCGCTCCCGCTCGAGCAGCTGCCTCTGCGCAGATAAGCGATGCTGCAGAGAGCACGGCAAGGACACGGAGCGCAGGTGAGCAGAAGCGCCGGCCGGGCTGCACAGAAAATGGCTGGCTCGGCGGGGAAGCACAGCGCGCCGACACGCACAGCTCCGTCCCACCTCCCCGGGATGCGATGTGCAGCACGCGCTGCTCCGTGCGTGCCCGACAGCAGCGAGACGGATGGGCGACGCTCAGGGGGAACAGGGAGAAGAAAGCCCGGGAGCGACGCGGCTCGCTTCCAAGCCTGTCATTTCCCTGAGCGCCTCGTTATCGTGACTCCACATCAACAGTGCCGCGGAGGGCTCCTCTCCCTTCTGTCTGACAACACGACACGGCAAAGCGGTGACGGCCATTTCCAAGAGGAGAACGCTCTCGATTTACACGTTACTTCTTAAGAGATTACCTAACATAACGTGGATTTCCCACTCTATTGTCTCGGGAAACGGGAGGCTCCGCCGTTTGCAAACCGACGAGCGAAAGAGCCGTTCGAGTCACGCCGCAGCAGGGCACTCCTCGCTCACCCCTCCGCTCCGGACCCCCCTCCCCTCCCCGTCCCGACCGCCCCACAGAGCGCAGCCCGCGGCCCACAGCTGCCGCCCGCGCGCCGACCCCTCACAGCCACCGGCGGCCGCGCCCCCTCCTCGCGCAGCCACAGCCGGCACCCGGGTCCCGCCCCGCGGCAGGGCTCGCCGCCCGCCGAGCATCACCGCGACGCCCGGCCTGCCGGGGGACAGCCGAAGCGAATCACCCGAGGAGGCGCCCGGCCCGTCTTCGCGCCCGCAGGTCCCGACGCTCCACAGCCCGCTCACCTGCCCCGCCGCCGCCCCCAGCCGCTCTGCGCCGCTCGGGCAGTTCCGCATCGAGCGCCGGGAGCGGAACGCGCCACCGCCGGCCGCAGGGAGGGAGAGAGGGAGGGGCGGAACGAACCACTCGCACCGGCGGCGGGGGGTAGGCAGGTACCTCCCGGCCGTGGGCGCCGCGCGCTCGCGCGGGACGAAGCGTCGGAGCGCGGCGTGCGGCCGCCCTGAGGTGCGGCGTCAGAGCGAGGCCTGGCTCCGTGCAAACGAGGCCAGCGTGAGTGGCAGGCGTTAGGAATTGCCCCAGCAAGGAGTGAAATGTGAGAGCTGCTTCCTGCTGGGCCTTGGTTTGGGAGGGAGCCGTGCTGGGACGAGCTCGAGGTTTAGCGTTCTGAACTTTATACCAACCAAAACTACCACCGATATTCCAGTGGTTTAAAACAAACAAAAAATTGGTTAAAAAACCCACAACCCTGGCTTCGGTGTCCCGTAGCTGTGCTCTCACCTGGCAGAGGAACTGAGATTTTCCTCCTGCCCCACCCCCCACGTGCACAGTCTACACAAGCTCGGCTGTGTCACCCATCCAAGCACAGGGCTGCCCCCCAGCACCCCTGCAGGAGGCATTTCAAGCGCCCCAGCTTCTCCAGCACCCAATGAGCAACTCTAGAGACTTGGAGCAGTGGGCAGCACTCTGCAAATACTAAAGCACCACTGATTTATCTCCACGTACCCACTTACCCCAGGCTTACAGCTCCCATTTAAGAAGCGGTTATAAAACTAGAAATTAACCCTGTACTCGTTTGCACATTAAAAAAAATGCACTCAAAAGACTTTGCTTCCAGGATACTGGAGAGGGATGGCGAAGCTAAAGCCAAGCAAAATCTATTTTCTCCAGTGCCATCAACATTATTGGCTGCAACTTCAAAATCGGCGTTTGCATGCAGCTTTTCTCTTCAAATTAATAAAAAATGAGATGGCAGCAGCTCAGGCTGCAGCTTCAAAGCAAGTGCCTGTCACCAGGCAGCAACTTCACTGCTGCCTCACTTCTGGCTGCTGGCAACCTTGTTCGTCATCAGACCCTTCAGGAGGGCCCAGCTGTCCTCTCGTCCATCCAAGGCTGGTCTGGCCTCCCAGCTCTGCTCACTGCTCCCCCTCTCACTCCCTGTGAGCATCAGGTGAGCAGCTATCAGCTTGGACCTGTATTTCAATTCTGTTGAGCTGGTTTATATAAAAAGTAGAGTGAAGCACGTGGAATAAAAATCACAGAATCACAGAATTGTAGGGGTTGGAAGGGACCTCCAGAGATCATCGAGTCCAACCCCCCTGCCAAAGCAGGTTCCCTACAGCAGGTAAAATGGTTAAACTCTGAATGCAGCCCACAAATCGAAGTGAGGGTATAGCTAATAGGTAATAAACGGTCTTCACAACATGCACTTTTATCCACATTTGTTGGCTACAGCACATAGGAGGGTGAACCCACACCCTCCTGCGTGTCAAATCCCTACCTGTGTAAAATGTCCCTACACTCCTACCTGTGTAAAATCCCACACTGAAGATCAAAGAACCTGCGTGGCATTGCACTATTGCTTATTTCACTACTTCCTGCTTTTCCCCAACCTATATCCTCACTTTCTTATTAGCTTGGAGTTTGTTACACTAAGAACTTAGTCCACCTTCCTCCAGTCTAATGATGGCATCAGAGAATGTCGAAATCCTGTATTAGGCTTTATTCTTTTATATAAACATTAACATTTCTCAAACAGATTAGTTAAAAATACAGATTTAAACAAGATTTTTTTTTTTTTTTTTTTTTTTTTCTTTTTTTTTCAATTGCAATGAGTTATAAAAAACAACAGATTATTTTACGGATTGTTACAAGTGCTTTACAAAGGTGCAGAGTGAAGGCCAGTGGCAAGGGACCAACCTCAAGTGCAAAATGGACACAATACCCTCACCACGGGCATAGCGCTCAGATACACAGCCAAAAATTAACAACAAACCAACAAAAAAACCAACACGAGCCATGTGAATGTAGGCTCTCGGGATGCTCACCAGGCAAGCAAACAGACCCCTATCACAGAGAAGACTCATGAGACCAAACTACCAGGATACTTCAGGTTACATCTCTGAGATCAGCCCTAAAGATGCTGTTTCTTGGAAAATAAGGAACACATTTTGGAACAGTATGCTTCTCTTGTCAGACAAGTATTGCTTTAAGTCCCAGAATACTTATGGATGTGGATACTTAAGAATGCGGGGCATAAATCCAGCGTGGCTCTCACTGCGCCCAACGTGAAGGAAGGATACAGGACCCAAGTGTCCTTCTAAAGCAGTTGGCACTCCTCATACAGCAGGGACCTCCATATCCCATCATAACCACTGGAACTTTGAGAAAGTACCTTGGAAAGACTTTGGCATGAGGAAGAAGATGCAAGCAGAGGAAGTAACACTCAATATTCCTGCAGCCCATGATCTGAGAGTTGTGCAGCCCACAGCTTGTGCAATGCCCACATATTTCACTAAGAGCAGTGTGTCCTCTCTCCTTGGCCAATACATCTTCACACTCACCTTGGAACACATGCCATATGCTCCAAATTCTTGCAAGTTTTGGAGATCCTTCCACCACACCTACCTTGCCTAGGTACCAGTCCTTCCCACCTTTCTCTCTTCTCTTCCACCCCTAAAGACAGAAAAAAATCTATGCCCTGATTTGTTTTGAACTAAAGTTTTCCAGCTGTTAGCAAGACAAAGAGAACTGGCTGCAAATCAGCATGAGATAGAGTTGTGATATATTACATTAAAAAAAAATAAATTCTCTACTTTATGCCTGACATTTTTCTGGTGTACAAATGTTCCCTACCCAGAGGATTTCCCTGTTAGACAAAGGGCACTACACATTAGAATCGCAGAATGGCCTAGGTTGGAAGGGACCTTAAAGATCATTTAGCTCCAACATCAGAGGAATCCTCTTTCCAAAGGAAGGCCAGAATGAAAGGGCACCTCTAGAGATGAAGTCTCACTATAAGGAAATAACAGCTACTTCTCTTGAAATCCTTGCAAAGGGCAGCACATAGATATTTTATTTATAGGAAACCCAGTGAAACCCCTAGAACATACACACTGACTTCCCTGAGCTCCTCAGATCCAGGTACACTGGGAACCCTGCATAAGCCTTTTGAGCTGGGTTACTCTCAATAGAGAGGGTTTGGCAAATTCCTGCAAATTCATTTTCATAATCAACGAGAGAGGAAAGGATCGATTAGCAAATCCCCAGGACATGCTTAGAAAAGAGAAAGAGACTGAAGAAAGAGGTGTATGTGCGTGGAGAGTCTTCATTTCTACCGTTTTCAGATGTTTCATATTATTCATTTGGGGTGTGGGCACTACATCAAAACCAACCCCCATCATCTGATCTACCCCAGCTGCCTCCTGCATAGTCTCATTACAACATTGAAACCCCAAGCTCGTCACTCTCTGCACTGCCTAGCCCAGAGTTCAGTGCTTTGGAGAGGGGAGGCTGGCTTCTCGTTAGCAAAGGCTGGGACACGGCGTTATGTCGGCACATCAGTGCCCTGGGAGCATGCGGTCACTCGTGCACATCCCAGATTTCTGAGAGCAGGGGAGGAAGTTTCTTGTCCTGCAGCCGAAGGGCAAACACCTGTTCAGAGTGAACACTACTTAGTGTCCGAAGACTGACCAGCTTCATTAACATCCGTGGAAACATCAGGTGATCCTGCAGGGTCAGAAATGGACAGCTGTTAGTAAATCCATGCTAAAACTTTGGCTTTTGAAAACTAACAAACCCCACCAAAGCACAGTGGATGAGGCATTACACACAATCCCAATTTTCCCTAGAACAGCATTATCCTGGAGGCAGCACTGTGGAAAAACACAAATACAACATTACAACCCAAAACTCCAGACTTTCTATGCTAGCTAACTACAGAGCACAGTACAGAACTGCAGGCTGTGACAGCTCACAAATCCTCCATTTACAGCTGCTATCACATAGCCACAGAAGAGAACAGCATGACAGTACAGGCAACAAGAGATCTGACTGACACTAACTGTCAGAACTGGGCCTGCATGAACACAAATTCAGTTTGTACCATCGCGGGGATGCCCATGAGACACTTACATTTGGTCTATTGATGCAAATGTACGAATGAAGGGCTTCCACATAGGTGTGCTGTAGTCTCTCCACTAGGGACTGGTCCTGCACATTCGGTCGATCTACCAAAAGCAGGTTAGAAATAAGCACGTTGCTACAGGCAGCATTACTAGACTTGACCCTGGTCTAGCCTCAGTAAGGTCTCTCCCCAAAACTCATCTAGCATTCACCCAGCACAGCTGGGACAGTCATTTGTGAATGCAGCAGCTATGCCAGTTTTCTCAAACTGCCCTTTTTCAATCTAATGCGTACAGGGAATCACATCCAATTCTTACAAGGGTAGAAGGTTATAGAGACCAAAAAGCACTATATAGATACCTTTTTTGTCTCACATTTGTGACTAACTGAAGATGAAAAGCTGCAGTTATTCAGGAGGGAATGGGAAAGTTTCTCCAGCAGCTAAGCCAGTCGAAAAACAAGAACAAATAAAGAATTTTGATCTTTCAGGTCACAAGACACAGAAAAAACATGCAAGGAGCAGAGACAGCTTCTTTTCAGAGCCCTTTCCTGGCCGAGAACAATGTTGTTCTCTCAGAGTACCTGTACTTGTCCACTAGATGTCACTCACTCCATGCTACCCATCGCACTTCAGAGATACCGAACACAGGGGACAGTAAAATAGCAGTTTTTAAATGAAGTAGATCAATACTGGCTGATTTTGCTACACACATCTTCAGAGAAGAATCCGTTTTACTGTTGAGGTAGCACTGGAAGATTCAGAATATAACAAATACTCCAAGTAAAAGTAGTAATGTGCTCATTCATCTTAAGACCTTACACCTTCTATTACTTCTCTGCTTTCCATCATCTTCCTTAACTGCTTCCTTTACCCTGCAACTCAGTGCTGCAGCTTTTCAGATTTCCCTGCCTTTTTACCTGCAGAGAAAATGTTGATGGCGATTAAAAGTGCATATTCAGCATCATTGAGTTGCAGCTCATTCATTCCCTTTGAGAACTCAAAGATGGGGTTAATGAACTCAAACTGCAGACCTGCAGCAAACAGAAGAGAAGAGTGTAAGGGTCAGCAGTGGCAATTGCTTCCTCTCTCTTTCTCTCTCCATCTCACAGAATAAGCTGTCAGAAACACACTCAGCATGCCAGGGAGCAGGGAAGACAGGCAGGCAGACACACAATCAGTTTTCAGACAAATCTATCCCAAAGACAAAATCCCACAACTTTAAAATCTATGCTTTTTATTCCACACCACCATCTCTTTCAAACCTGGCAGCCCTATTGCTTTCAAACAAAGTTTTAATTCCATGCTGCTGATTCATCTGAAGTCTTGAGATGAAAAAGCAGTTCCAAGAGTTCCGCACTACTCAATTTCCTTTACCTTAAAAATCTGGGAGAGCTGGAAGATCCTGGTCTAGACTTACAATCACCTTCTTTGATAATAGCCTGGCAGAAGTACAATCACATTTATTCTGTCATAACATACAGATGACTGTCATATCGTGTCCCTTTGTGCTATGTGATGTAAAAGCATGCTGAAAAATAAGCCTTTCCCCCCAGAATACCATCCAGAGATCTCATGTCCTGTAGTACATAAGAGCTGCCTTCTTTTTGTCTTTCTAATAGCCCAAAGAAAAAGCTGCCATGAAGAGCATCAAGGAGGAGAAATGTCTACTAATAGCTGAAAAAGAAATAAAGTTCAGTTTCCTAAGCTTGGAACCTTCGTCATAAGAAACTGAGCGTTAAAGTTTGAAAGTGCAGTTGAGTGGCGTGATGTGTCAGTAAGCTCCTAGAAAGCCATCAGCAGCCTGGACGGCCTAGACACCCTAAACTTGTCCATGGAAGGTACAAAGAATCACAGCAGCTGACCTTCTGAGTCTTGTGGACCACTAAAGCTCCTTCTTACGAGAATGTATCGATTTTGAATCCCTTCTACCATATCTATCTCATCCCTAAGCAACATGACTCTCACCACTCTTTTTCACTTATCCTGATACCAGATTGTTTCCTCCCTTGTTCCCAGTGTCTTTGTACGGCTCTTGCTTATTCCCTGTTTTTTTTTGCAATGATCCTTCTGTTAAATGCTGCTCTTGTTCTAAACCCTTCATTTAACTTCAAGTCACACACACTATTTCCAGCAGCCACATGAAAAATGAAAAGATGAAAGAACACAAGACAGGGAAGGAAGAAACACCTGTCTAATGCAGCACCTGCTTTGGCGAAGTCATCCCGATTATAGCTCAGGTCCTTCAGAAAAGTGATGCTCTCAATCTCTGGATTGTAGCGCCGAGATGTCTCCAACAACATCACCTGAAACCAGAGATCACAGTTAGATACACTTGAATACAGGAAAGAACATCACAGTATTAATAATCAGTTGAGAGAAAAAAGAAGAAACAAAAACAAGAGAAAAACCCCAAGTGTAATTCTCTCAGAATACTTCAACATTCCAATGTAAATTCTGCTGCATCCTTTACAGCGTCTCCTCCTGGGAACGGATTATAATGCTTTCCAGTGCCAAGGTGCTCTTTCCTCATTCTTCTCCATGGCCCTTTGCCAGGATAGCCTCTCACTACAGAGTAGAGGTCTTTCTTTCAGCCTGCCATCCCAAAAAAAGGGATGTAAAACCATTTCTGCAGGTGGGTAATCCAGACTCTTTTGTCTCTGTTACTATATACTATTGTGGAGACAATCTCTCACCTCTATGGTAGATGTCTTCAACAAAGCAATCTGATCTTCCCTCGTGAGCTCCCGGAAGCCAGGTAGTTGCTTGGCAAAGTCCACAATCTCTTGCACAGAGATAATTGCAAGTTCTGTAAAGTGAGCAAAACGCTGCTGCCTTGCTTCACGGTTATTAGGGTCAGGAACTTGGGGCCATGGCTGTGGAAATGAAAAGAGACAGCATATATATATAAATATATATATATATATACACACATAAAATGAAAGATGAAAAAAGAATAGAAAGATGAGAAGAGGAAGCGAACAAAGAGAATAAGTGAGACACACTGGAACTAGTAAGTTTTTCTATAGAGAACTATGCCTCAAGCATTTCCATTCTACCCAAAACTTCACCCCAACCCTGACTCCTCGTAATTCCACTTCTTCCTTATTATTCTTACTATTATAAATTTCCACTGGTAAGAGTATTTACCGTCACTTTGATCCTGTCAGTGAACGAGCGCTGGTTGCACTGCTGTTGAGCAGCCACAAGCTTTTCAATCATGTTTAACTGTTCAGGTGTCAGCTGGTGGGAAGGACTTGGTGGCTGTGGAGGGTTTGGACGCACCACGACTGTCCGCGCCTGATCGTCCTCCTGCTTCTTCAGCTTTTTCAGCCGAATCTGCTCTTCAGACAGAACATCTACAATAGGAACAGCCAGAGATCAATCATAGAGGAACAGTGAAACCACACTAAACACAGGGCAGCACGTTGTGGATGGAGAAGCAGAGGTTCCAGCTCACAGTATCTGGCTTATGTACACTCATGTACAGGATACAGACAGTGATACTTATTTGTGTCTCGCTCTCTTCTCCACTTGTTCCATTGCCTTTCTTTTAATTGTACTTCGTGTAAACATTCACAAAGGACAGTGAACACATGAAGCTCCCATCATGCTGTCCTGCATATGTCAGAAATGGTTTTTGCCTCTAATTTGCCTGCAATTTCCCAAAATATCATATAACATAGTCCAAGAGGTGCTCTCTGCACATCATGATGAGTCCATTATATTTTATATAATTCTGTTGTTTCGCCTTTTTTCTGATACTGCTAAGTTAACAGTTTGTGTCATTTAATCTTCTCCTTAAGAGGCCAGATTCAGTACTAGATGGAGTTAGACCAAGAAAGCACAACCCTCTGCACAGCCCATCTGCAGCAGAAATGTACAGCAAGTGGAATAAAGAAAGGACAGCTTTGTATAAATCCCACTGAGGAGGAACGTAAGTCCTTCTGAGTAGGGTTGGAAGTCTTCAGTCATGAAGTTAAAGAGTGATACTATTTAGATTCAACACTGCAGAAAATAAAACAAGTCAGGGGTATCCTTCTGGAATGTCTTATCGAACCATTTGCTCATTACTTAAATTTATTTGGATGCCTTTAACTAAGTTAACTGAAAAAAAAAAAAAAAAGAAGATTTTTGATGTAGATTTCTGCTGTTTCTTTAAGTCAAAGCTGCAAAAACTACCTGCAGGCCATATCTGAATCACCCTGTGAGCTACTGATAAATGAACAAAATGCAGAAAGCAGACTGGAAATACAACTGTATTTGTTCAAAAACAAGTATAAAAGTAAAAAATAAAGCCTGACCTTGCTGAAAAACGCTTTGGTCATTTTTTATGCAGAGGAAACAATGAAAAATAGGTGCTACACAAGAAGGCAGGCCCCAAAACTGAACAAAATAAAACTTCTCAAATATAAAAAACTTCTCAAAATAAACTCTGATAAAACATGTAGGCAAGAACTAGGCAATTGCTGTGACAGTGTGTTCTGAGGTGGACAATACACGGGATCAGAGGGAAAACCCAAGAGCATATATTCAAGCTGAGATGAACCCTTATCCCAGACTTCCAAAATAAGGGAGGGTATGCATGCATGCACACACATACACAAAATGAGAATTCTTACAGCAAAGACATTCAGTACAATTATCACATCAAACATGACCTGCAAGATCAGAGAACGCTACTCACAGTATGAATTTACGAATGGCAGAGACTGATTCAGGCAATTACAGTCCCTCGCAGAAGAATTTATGTCTGAGTAACACGTTACCAAGTATCAGAAAACCTTGCAAACTGCCTATGTGCATGCTTCCTTCACCACACCAAATTCCAAGTAATCTGAGCCACTCAGTTTTCCACGGAGGAGCTATCAAAGCTCATGGCACATGCTGGTTTAAGAAAAATAAACTGGCCATGAGTAATTCCCTTCAGTCTGGGAATTAGAAGAATGTTTCAAACAATTTGCAGAGGGAATGACATTCCAAGCAAACAGCTGGGAAACAAAAATCTCATTTTTTGTCACGATTAACAAGGCAAATTTATAGCATGGATTACAGCGCTGACAAGACAAGTGGTTGATAAAATGACCCAATTATTCCTTCTGGCATAGTTTTCCTGAGCTGAAGTGTATCCTCTGTCTTCACCAAAAAACAATGAGCAAACACTGAAACATAATCAGGCTCTCTAGTAGTATCTACCTACAACAGAAGAGTTAACAGGGCAGGCAGGCAGCCTTACAGAATCATTTTTCAAGTGCATCTCTTTTTGCAGCTCTCAGAAGCAGGGGGAAACAGCGCAGAGACAGCCTACATAAAGCTGATCCAAACCAGTGTGGAAGATTAAATACATTAAGCATTCTGTGTTTCAGCTTGCAAAAAGTGAAAAGCACATTTTTTTGCTGCAGCTCATTGGGGCTTAATGTTTTTGAGGAGTATATTTTAGAGATGTTTCTGAAATACTTTATGTTCTTCACAGTTCTGTTTGCTGAAGGTCAGAAAAGGAGACTTCACACAAAATTAATTCTAAGTGAGCATCTACTCAGTCAGCCTTGGTCAGGAGAGGGGTGAAACCTGGGAACCTTGTCAGGGGAGTGCTGTTTCTGATACACAAGCAGGAGTGCTGCTGAATATTCAGAAACAGCAGCCTTATGGTCCAGTGAGAAAAATAACTAAGTTCTCGAAAGGCAACGACAAGATTGAGTCTGCACAAACACAGCTGCAGTACTGTGGCGCTGCCCTTGACCTGTCACGAGGTGAATACAGGAAGTGCTTTTTGGCATTTTAAGAGCATGGCGACAAACCTCATAATGCAGACCAAAAGACAGCATACTGAAGAACGTGTAAACTTCAGCTGCAAGTCTTTCCTCTGATGTCACGCTCCGTGATTTCTCATCAAACAGCGTTTTCAAAAGAATACAGCAGGGATCTCAGCACATCATTGTTGTTTCACCAGCAGCCCCACCTCCCCACGTAATCCCCGCTGAGCTCCCAGCACCTCCTCACACGCAATCCAGCCTGCAGCGTGCGTGGCTCACGTGTGTTCCCCAGCGTTCACGCTGTCCTCTCCCTTACATCCACCCCCACTGGCCACCCACCCACCCCCCGCTCCCTCATCCCAGCGCCCCCCAGCACCGCTTCCTGCACTCACACTGCTCCCGCATGCCTGCCTCCTGGCACTTGCGCAGCCGACACTCCTGGCACTTGCGCCGCATATACATGTCCATCTCACACTTGCCGCCGTTCTTGCAGACGTACTGGGCGCCCTTGATGACACTGCGGCGGAAGAAGCCCTTGCAGCCCTCACAGCTCAGCACGTTGTAGTGGAAGCCCGAGGCCTTGTCCCCGCACACACTGCAGACTTCATTTCCCAGCATCTTGGGGGCCGGGCCCTTCTTCCGCTTCAGCGGGGGATTTTCTATGAGAAGAACAGTAGCAAAATAACAAACAGTCACATACACACAAGAGGGAAGCATGGCATTTGCAACTGACGGCCCCATTCCTTACAACGACCAATACATTCGCTCAAACCCACCATCTCCTACATATGCGGCTGAAAAGTCACCCTTTTCACCCCTTTGGGGCAAGCATATCTTCTGCAACAAACCACGTATTGACATAATCCAAACAGTTCCATGCCAAATATGTAAGCACACATAGCTTTACACTTGACCCTACTATGGAGCAGATCAAAGTGATAAAAACATGCTCAAGCCCGATGTTCTTCTGTACATTCCATCAGCAGAAATGACTTAGCACCTAACAAATAGCTGCTGAAAACTGACCTGAAATTCAAGATTGCACAGAAAATAAGTCTTTTCAAAATTGAACACATGGGAAAGCCTTCAAGATAGAAGACAGCAACTCCATGCAGTCAGGGTCAAGCAGATAACACACACTATGTGAGCTCTAAGAACTTCTGTAACCCCAAAACCATCATTTATTTTTCAAGATGACTGCTCCTCACTCCTTAAACTAAAACATTCTCACTCTTCCATTTGCTGAATCTTGTTACTCCATTAAAAAAAAAAAAAAAAAAAAAAAGTCTTCACTATTGCCTTGTATTTTAAATGGTCTTGTGCAGCAGTTCCCAGTTTTTCCTACCTCATTCTCATGGATCTTCTGTCACAAAATGCATGTTCTGAAAACATCTTTGGACTGCTCCAGTCAATACTAAAGCATTCTACTCAAATGCTCACTGATGTTCTTTGTGCATTCCCTCCTTATTAGCCATCCCCATCTTCATTCCACTAATTCTAGCCATGTCATCATCTCGCATGTTCTTCTATGCAGCTCAGTGCATGTATTTTTTTGTCTGTTTGATGTAATAGATCCTTCTATGGCAGCTTTCATAAACCACACAGGCAGAACGGCCTTGATAAGGCTCAGAAATTATTATTAGTGTTCTTCATTTCATATTGGTTTTCAGACTTAAGCATCTTGGTGTTGATTTTCAATTCCATTGACTTTGCAAAGGTCTGCAGGTCATTCACTTTGGCATGCACATCTCATTGCAGAGAGTGCAGATCAGGAAAATGTCAGCAGAAAGGTTAAGCCTCTGATATTCTCCTCTCTTGATTTACTGTACTTCTCTTCACACCATCTCTTACAAAGAATAAATTACGCAATGCCTGTATTTATTTCAAGTTACTCAGTCTCCTTTTACACATATATTAACTGGCATAAAAACTTTGACAAAGTTTTGAATCACGTTCAGATTTCTGAGTGACAGCAAAGTAAACCAATAACTGCACATGATGAATCCATCCAGCACATATCTTTTGACTGTCATTAATGAGTTACCTAAAGATCTGACAACCATCCTTATGACTGTTTCACTGAGTCAAATAGGCTTCAGTTTTCATCTAAGGAAGGAAACTATTTTCCATTTTGAACATTAGGCATTTTAGTTATACTGCTTATCATTGTCATTTTGCAAAATCAAAGCTTGAGATGCATCAAGCTTGACCATCATCTTGGTACCTTTGCCTCTCATTATGGTCCTCCTTGTTCAGTAGATTCACTCTTTAATCATTTTCTCTACATTTCATGACTTTCCTGCATCTTTTGTAAAGCATTCATTAATTTCAACTACCAGTAATGGATTCTAGTCTTCAACTCTGATGTCTCAGATGTAGCAGTACTCACTCTAGAACTTCTCCAAGTATCAGTATTATTCACAGCTTAAAGAATGGAATCCCTTTAGCTTGTAAGCATTTAATAAGAGTTTTTCCATACCTGCATGCTTAGGGGGGTTCTCTGAGCCAGAGAAGACTGAAAGGCCTTCCTCCTCCATCTCAAATACACTTGCCACCCTCTTCCCATGGTCCTGTGTGCTGAGTTGAGTGGGACCCATGGAGGCCACACAGGAAGGGCTTGCTATAATCTCATCTCTGCAGCATTGTTACTGCAGAGTAAGGAGCAGCAGGCAACTTTCTTCAAGGTCTTTAGTTTTTCCCTGCTACTGAAAGTCAGAAAGGAAGTACCTGTGGAGAAAAACAGAGACAAAAGAGGCAAGATTTCAGCTACTGAGACTGTTAACTCCCCAAATCTTACAGAACAGCAAGCAAGCAGCAAGATTGTTTCCTTATTAAGAGACAATTAACTTTGTTTTTTATCAATATTTATTCCCTTGAAATAATATTTTAACAAACTGTGGTTAAAATACAGTAACAGCACACTTGGACACAAAACTGTTTACTGTCACATCAAACCAGGACAAACCTCCATTACCGCTAGCACCAGCAGGGGACTTCAGCCCTCATCTTTCCAAGCATGTGAGAGGGAAATTCCAAACTCCACAACCAGAGGCCTTTGCTGAAGCTTCCAGGAACCAATTACTCATTACTGCCAGCTGTGCTGGATTTTATTGCATGAACTCCAGAGCACACAGAAAACTGTAAAAGCCAATTGTGATACACTGATATAGCAACGACTAATTTCCCTATTACTAGCAACAGCTGAAGGCTGTGCCAAGGATCAATGATGCATCAAAGATGAGGATTACTAATCCTCCCCTGACCTATAAAAATAAACAGAAAACCAGAATCATATCTAAGGGAAACCCTGGCCATTATGCCACTCTCAGGAAACATTCACCACCAACCTTCTGGGGACACCCTTTTCCAGGACTTGGAAATGATACTAAAAACCATCCTTTTATAAAGCACTAACTCCACACTACATTATGTGAACCTGGAAAGCGAATCCCACCACTTTTTCCAAAAAGCTCTACTACCCAAACAGAAAAAAAGTCTTACCAGTGAGATTGCAAAGACTTAGTGAAACTGATGTAAACTGCTAGCATAAACACACCTTCATCTGCTCCAACATGCATACAGATCACTTGATCTTAATTCTGTGATTTACCAACGCAAGCTAAAAGGATTAACTGATTTAAAAAGCAACTGCCTTAAAGGCCAGGACCAGTTTAACTTGGCCCATGGAGTTCAGGACTGGAAGTGTGCCACTCTCTAGAAGAGAGGAGGTGACAGAAGGCTGTGCAGCAGCACAAACATAAAACGTCAGGTAAACAGGGACCATGCTTTACACAGTGCACTGCTGACTGGGAGAGGCAGAGGACTACTGCCCCAGGCCTCTTCTTCCCTCCTCTATATTTGGACCAGACCATGTAAATTCTCTTAGAGTGCCAAAGGCAAAAGACAAAAGCAGTTGTGCCACAAAACCACCCCCTCCCAGAATTCTGACAGCAACAGTCATCACGTAGAAATCCAGTCATACTGTCAAGATTGCTAGGCTCTTGCCATGCCTCTTTATGCTGTGACAAACAACAGAAGCAAGTGTTAAAAACCATATATTAAAAAACCACATATTAATTTATGTGCCCTTTGTAAACACAGACTCAGACTGCATAAGGAAATCAAAACTCCCTTGCTTTGATGTACACAGCCACACAATCACTGCAAAAATAGACTAGGATAAGTGCAACTGCAGCAAATGTAGAACACAAAGCCACAAAAGAACAAGAAATCCCAGAGTAAAAGTCCGCAACATAACAGGTCTGATTTGCAAATAATCTAAAGAGATACACAGTTCCCAAAAGAACAGAGTGGACATCACAATTAACTTTAAAAAAATCATCCACAGTAAATCCTGCAGCAACAGAAAACCTTATGGAGAGGCACAGAGCACCACCTGGAGATGGGAACTTCAGTGAGAGAAACCCAGAGCTGCCTTATATTCCTACATGTATGCTTCTCATGGATGCACAGTTTCAGATCTCTAGGGACATGTTTGGACACAAAGCAGAAAGCTGAGATGCCTGAGTACATCTCCACATTCCTTTAAGTCACGCAAAAGATTCACTCAAGCATTAATTACTGTGAAGAATGAAACACTGCTGGTAGTACTTGCAGCACTTCTTGAAGAAAAGGTCCGATCCTCCAGCTGATCCTCCAGCTGATGGACGGAGTGAGGTGCTCAGGCCCTGCTGCCTGCAGGCAGTGACACAGTCCTGCTGCATCCCAGCCACAAGCTGCAATGTATTCCGGGAAGTAAGGGAGGAGGAGGGCTCCTCCTGATGGGATTACAAAATCATTTCATCCACATAATCACGACTGACATTGCAAGAGTGAAACTTCTTGTCAGCAGGACATCTGGAGCCCAAAGGGGAGGGATTTTTTTTTCTTAAAAAAGAGACTGCTGACTTCCTGGCAATGTCAGACTAGCCTGCAGGCACCCAGCACACAGCAGGGGTATGGCATATCAGTCACTACCTTCATGCTGTGAAACCAGCCCATGTGTTCCTACCTCATGCACCATCCTCTGGCACTTCCCCAACAGAATGGGCCAGACAGGAGCAGGAAAGACGAGAGGCCAAGGCTGCTCCTAAGACACAGTATTTTTAGTTTTGTAGATGCAGTAACAGTTCCAGGCTGTGGAAAATAGACCTAATTACAAACAGCAGCACTCCGGTGGAGCAAGGTAATGAAACTAAACTAGCCTTTTCCCCACAGGCAGAGGCTGTGTGATTAGGCAGGAAGTTAAGTTTCACAGAAATATATGACTCTATAACTCCATAACTCCAAATGTTCTTGAGTTCTGTATTAATATTCATGTTATCAGAGGTTCATACCTCCCAATTTGTACCACCACTTCAACTTGAAATAAAAAAGGGTGATGCAAGCCTGAACTACAAAAACGAACGCAGACTTCTTGACATCATCTTCCGCACTGCCTCCACCTTCTGTCTCGACTCTGTCAGTTTTAGAAACCAGCACTGGCCAAGTGACAAGAGATGGGGCAATCACTTCTCCAACACAGCTTCTACAATGCAGGAACCTGGTGAGCATACACTGCACAGGGAAGCACGCATAGATGAAAGGCAAATAGAAACAATTCTCCACCTCATCACTCATGTCTCAGATTCTCTCCTTGTCACTCATGTCTCAGAAGAGACATTAAACATTTTTGGAAAATGTTGTTCCTTACATCCTTTCTTCCCTCTCTGATGGTCTCGAAATCAGCACTCCTCAAACAGAATATTGCAGTAGGGACTAGAGGGGCCTGTCTCTTGCACTTCACGCTTACTACCAGAAACCTTCACTCCTCCCTCCAGCACCAGCCTTGTCTGAACTCATACCCTCAGTTAGAAGACCCCTTCTGAGCCCAGCTGAAGCATTTATGCACTCTTTTGGAAATCTCTGACCAGATCTGTCCTCAAGAGCCACAAAACTACAGAACATGCCTATTTTCTGTCCCATGCTCTCAGAGGATAAGTAAAAGATATGGCGCAGCAAAGCACACAGATGAAACCAAAGGAACCAGATGTAGTTACTGTAGTCATACTTCTGATAAAAATGTCTGTTCTCTCCACAGCATCTTTGTCTGGCATCTTTTTCTGGTACTTTGTGGGAGGAATTTACAGACCAGGAACCAACCCAGATGCAAGTGCATGCCTGGAGAAACTATGCTGTGGAGAGCAGGGATAATGAAAGGAAAAGCACAGTGGGCCTTTCACCTCCAAGCACTGAATGCTCAGAGGAAACGGTGGCTTTTTAAGAAGTTTATGCAAGTCCCTGGGATCTTTCAAAAGAGGAGCTACTAGTCAGAGTCCTGGTAAGTTACAAAATCCTACAGCCTTCAGACAAGAGAAAATAAGCAGTTATGTTTTGGTTCTATAATGAATCACCAGTGCACACTGCACCAACAGAAGAGACCCTGTGCATGTACACATGTAGTACTGTGACTGTGCTCACGTGTCATGTATGTGTGTGTCAACAGGACTGCACCTGTGTGGATGGGCCTAACAAATGGGCTGCTGGGGAACCAGTGTGTCTGAAGGGAAGAACTTCCAGGGAAACTTACAGCAAGAATATCATTTTGCATTTGGGCTTCTAGAGGCATTCTGACAGGCAAAACAATCCTCAATCTGAAACTACCTCTGAAAACTGAGTCAAAATAGGGGCTTAAGGATCTCTGCTGAAAGCTAAATTCTCAGTGCGCACACTGGTGATGATACCTGGGGTGCCAATCCAAATGTCTGAGTAAAAAAGAAAAAACACCATTGGACTGACACATCACAGAACCTACAGCATCGGCACAGAACAAAGCTCCTCATGAGGCACTGCTCTTTCAATTCTTTCATAAGTACTAAAGGTATTCTGCTACCCAATGTTCTTCCTACGCCTTCTCTGGTGCGGCATCAACTTCAGATCGTCAAAGGGAGGGATAAAACATGAAAATGCAAGGTGTGCCAAGAAGCATAACATGACAGCACAGTTTTTAACATTATGTTTACAAACAAGGGCAAGAACTGCTCTGTAACTCTGAGTGAACAGCAACTAGCTCCATGTCCTAGCAGCAGATTCCTTTCTACAGAGAAGTGCACAGCATTAACTGTTTGGATGTCTCAAGAATAAAGACTGCTACAAAATGAAATTAGCCCACAAGCCCACCTATCTCAACAACAATGGTAGAAAAGCTACAGCCTATTAAGAGCTTTCACTGGCTACCAAGCTAAGCTTCAGCAGACCGCTACCAGTTCCACAAACGCATGGCACTTGTCCACAAGAACTAGCAGCTGCTGTCACTTCTGACAACCACAGAAAGCAGTAATTCCTGACTGCAGCCAGCTGCCCATGGTGGGCAGCACTTAGGTCTCCTGTCCCCAGGTTAAGAGTCTTATTCCCATCTCTGTCTCTAGTTCTGAGTCTTAGAGCCCATGTCCTCTTCCTTTGGCTCTTCTTCCCGTTGCCGACCAAATTCCTTATTACCCATCCCTTTGCTGACTTCTGGAATGGCCTCTGCTTAAGTGTTTGTCTCTTCCTTTAAACTCATATATCCCTGATCTCGCCTGGTTCTCACTGTGGCACCTGGCTCTCATGGTGAAGGCTTTCTTTGGACTGGCTCTCTGCCTTTGGCTTCAGTCTGTTCTTAAACACAGCACGATGTCTCCTACCTCCAAGTACAGGTGCAATGGCAGCTCCCAGAGAACAGCTCCAAAAGTGACTAACTACCAGACAGA